CTGTCTTCTCTCAGAACCACAACAAACCTTTCTTTTGGCATTTTAGTTTGTTATTTAGTCCTGTTAACTGGAAGTTAATCAAAACAAGTGCTAGTTATGATTCATCATAAAAAGCCATTTAAACAAATCTGTGAAAATCGTACATTGGCCAAATCATCTGGAGAATTCAGAAAACTACTTACAAGGGCAGAAGAATACAGTAATACTGATTTTTTGTCCTGGATCAAGAAATCCATTCTGCAAACTAAATTTAAAAATATTGTCTTCTGTATTTTTGACTGCATCACCATAATCCAATTTCCACTTCAACTGCTTCCTTGAGATATTCTTCAAGTCAAGCTTCTGTAAATGTTTGCAAAGAAGGGACATGACGAAAGAGAAAAAGCAGCAAACACCAGAATACTTTTGACATTGCTCTAACCTAAGCATTCTTTTTGCAATCAGATCAGAGTGAAAGCAAGAAAGCACTAGAAAGCAATGAAGAATCCAGTTTATTATACCTGTAAAGTGAGAAGATGAGTATGCCTATCAGCACAGATTAGGTGCTTTGCAGTCACACACCACATTCACAAAGAACTATACTTTCTTTCCAGAACGGAAGAATCTCATTTATGCAAGGTAAACAGATCAAAGCATCTTTCAGCTCCTAACATGCCCATAGCTAGGAAAAGGCCTTGACTTTGTACTACCATTTTTTCTGAAGATACTTGAAAAAGAGTTTCAAGTATTTTTACTATTGTATTAGGTCTGGCTGAGATGGTTAATCTCCCCCACAGCAGCTCTCATAGTGCTGTGTGTTGCAGTGGCAGCTAAAAAGGTGTTGATAACACCACTGTTTTGGCTACTGCTTAGCAGTGCTCACGCAGCATCAAGGCTGTCTCTCCAACAGTCCCCCCACAGAAGGCTCAGGGCCCAAGGGATAGGCAGGATCTTGGTAGGTGACAGAGCCAGGACAGCTGACCCTCAATGACCAAGGGGATATTCCATACCGTATGACATCAGCAGAACAATAAAAGCTAAGGGAAGGGAGAAGGAGGGGGGCATGAAGCAATCACTATGCATATTGAAGCCCTACTTCCCAGGAAGTGTTCAGACATCGCTTGCTGATGGGAAGCAGAGAATAAAATCTTTGTTTTTCCTTTGTTTCTGCAAACAGCCTTGGCTTTTGCTTTAATTAAACTACTTTTATCTTAACCCACGAGTTTTAATCTTATTTTCTTCCCCTTATTCTGATGAAGGGCGGAGTGATAGACCGGTGTAGTGTGTTCCTGGCGTCCAGCCAAGGTTAACCCACCACAACCATTGACAAATTTTTTTATAATTTCCAAACAAAGCCTTTGGGAATTAGAAACAAGAAATCATGTTACGGTATGTTTTGCATTCACACAGCAAACTTCTCTAGCTCCAAAACAGAATGGCTGGGGTCAAAT